TCGATCCCCACCGCAGACACCTGCAGTTCGGGATTTTGCAAACACCTCATCATCTTTGTGGTTATAGTATATTTCCCATATTTTTCAGAACTATCATGGTTCCAATCATTTATAAATCGTACAAAGTCGTCAACTTCAATAATCTAACTTCTACCTCATCAAAGAAGGTTTGAAAACGAAAGAAACAGAGAGAGAAAGCAACAGCAAAAGCTAAGCGGCAGAGAAGAAGCTTTTTGAAAACCAGGACCTGTTCTAAGGCAGTTTCACGACTTCTAAGCCAATCAAATATTGTTTTCATAAGCTAGAAGAGATTTAAAGGAAACTGCGACACCATCAAGAAATCGGTTCATTACTATTATTTAACTTTGAAAAGTTTAAAGTAAAACAGAGGAAGACGACTCTTATACATGCTACTAATTTAGATTACACTCCTATACAGTTCCAAAAAATATCTCAAGAGAGAAAAGAAATTTCATCAGAATTCATAGACGAGCCACAAGAACTTAACATTTGAAAGATTTTACTCTTGATTTTACTTTTACTTCTAGAGATGAAATTTTTTAATGACATCACAGCTAATATATTATTTCTAGCCATACCCGTCATAACTTTCACTGACCCCACCTTGCTTATGTGATAACTAAAATGTGATGAAAACAAGGTGCTATAGTTTTCTTAGAAAGAAATCTTCAGAACAGTCCGACTTACTTTCACGTTGTACTCTGCAGTATAGGAATAAAGATATGCTCACTATAGAGCCATTAGAATGACTTAAAAGGAAACAATGCTGAATTTCCTAAGAATTACATTAGCTTTAATCACCACAGGCCGTGATTTTCTTACATACAGGAAATCGCTTTCTGGTAAATCGCATAACTCGGGATTGTACGAAACCAAAACATTACGTATCACTAACACTAAAGACACCTATAAGAACTCTGACAGAATCTCTTTACAACTGACAATTAGATTATTCGTCCTGATGATTAGTTCACCACTCTGAGATCTAAACATCCCACCGCTTAGGATAAATACGGAGTAAATTGTTGTTACATACAATAGACATTTCCATCAGATTCACGACTTCGTTATCTCCCATACAAATGGCTGTTGAAACGTCCTACAGTGTCGGGACCATTACTTATCGTCTACAATTCTGCCCAGATACGACTGAATTTCCCACACTTAGTGACCTTGCTGTCTGTTTGCTTTTTTTAGAATTTGATCCACGTATTAACATACTATTCTCCGTGAGCTGTCAGGTCGACTTGCATGGCTATCATCTTCTCCACCACTGATTTCGCCATAGTAGTCAGGGTCTTCGTAGTCCTTGGAACGAAGCAAAGAAATTAAAGTAAAGAACTGTATTTCTAGATCTATACTCACCTTCTGTTGGTCACCAACCGTCTTGTATTCACTAACACCGCTGTGCATCTGCAAAACAACTGTTTTTTACTTAATCCAATCCAAAGGTAAAGGGTGAACATTAAAAAACGGAGAACTTGTCAGTGCAATGGAAATTTCTGTCATTATTAAAGCACGCGCAGAAGATAAAGGATATCGGAACAGTGTGGACTGCGTGTCTCAAAAGTTCCAGTTGAAGGATGTGATTTGTGTGGAAATTCATCGATGGGGCTGACATTTTTATGACCCTATCGTTCTTTGAGGACAGGTATACTTGTGGGACCGATTTCGGATCAAGTTGAAGTCCTTAGGACCGTACCGTTTAGCTAACGCATCCTTTTAGTTGTGTGTGTTACATTGCACACATTCATACTCCGGAGGGCACCACTGACATTTTTACTTATTCATAGTAGTTTCGGACAGATTCCGATTTATAATTATGAATATCCCATGGGAAATACTCCATTATGTGGTAAAACCCGTTCAGTGATTTTTCATTTAGACTCTAACTTCGAAAGTACCACTTAGACCAATAGCAGAGAAGTGTCTTCTTTGTGTAGTTATGGTTTAGTTAGGTACAAAACTTGATAAGCGTAGACGAGTTCATACGATCACTAAAAATCTTTCCTAAATTCTTCCTTATCTAGTCCACAGAACCAAAAGGGTTTGACAGATGACTTGATGTAAGAAGAATTTCAATCACTGCAACATCTATAAAGGCGAAAATAGTTGGAAAGTGCAGATTGAACCCTTCTTTTCTTTTCTTTCCCTTCCTTTCCTTCTCTTTTTTCATTTCAAGGACAACTTTTTTTCGACATTCACCCGTTTCGGATGATGAGAATAACCGCTCGAGAAAATCACCTTTACGAGCGGTTTAGTCAGAGATATTCCGAGAACCATAGTGGAACATTTCATAAAAATTAAAAGTATGAAATTCACACTGAAATGATTCCGACAGTATTCCTAGAATGAATATTTTATTCGGAAAGAAATTGGAAAAGCTGATCAAAGAAAAGAAATGAAGAAATACCAAAAAAATGATCGATTGCATCCCTGAAAATCAATCGCATTTCTCAAACCGGAAAAGGGATCATTAGCGGAAAACTTATGCTTGTTAAAAAGATGTTTTCTAGGTGTGTCACTCACAAAATCAGTGAGTATTGAGAAAAACATGGAAGAATTCCGGATATGGGAAAAACGATAGCGGATATTACAGAAAATCTTTAAAGCTTCTAAAAAACCCATTGCTAGTGCTCTAATGAAGGCTTTTCAGTAAACCAGAAAAGATCTACATGGGCAGATCACATAAGTTAACCAGTGGCAATCAGCGGATCTGTAGAAGGCGAGCTATGCAGTATGACCGCTTGGGGGTCAACAAGTAGAGATGTGGTATCGGTTTTGTAGGAACCAAAAACCATGTGAGATAGTGATCTTAGAAGTTGAAGGAGACCCGCGCAATGAGCTGCGAAGGGGACGTACGTGCGGGAGACCCATTTCTATAGCAAGGCCGACGGCGGCGCAAACGGTTCCACGCCTACGTCGGCTACATCCACGCTCACATAGACTCACCAATCACAATCAGTTTGTCGGTATCTTAAAAGAGTACCACATTTGGGATAAAAATGCGTCGGTAACTCTCCACTATTATTTCAAACCAACTCAATGTAGAGCTAAAAGCCACGACAGCTAATATTGCAGAAAGAAAACCACGAGTAAACCATAGAAACAGCAATGATGGTGAATCTGTGTGTTTGTGTCGATAAAATCAACCAAGAACTTGGTTTTGAAACTTGGGGAAGAAGCTTCTATTGTTGGTTTGTAAGTACATCACGTTGTGTTCTCACTCAAAACGGCCCTAAGGTATATTAAAACCGGCTGATTTTCGTGGTGCTTTCTGTATTGTCCATTCTGAATGATCGACACAAGGAAGGCGGAGCGTTGAAAGTAGTGGTGATAGAATACTACTTGTTCTAAAACCTGCATACTGTGATAGCCTGTTATCCCCTTCCCTGACTGATCCTATCCCATTTCTCGACACGAGGGTTAAGCAGGATTCCGGTCACTTGAATGTAGCATAGATACGAAAATTCTTATTCGACACTGATTGGAGGCATAAAATTTTAAAGAAAGGGAAGCTACTGGGATTGTAAACTTTCTCAGAAGGCGGGAACCCATTGGGTCTAACTGATACAATCATTCCAGTAATAGTGAAACCTGCGCTGAACACATCTTCCATTCAGATGCGCATATTGCCTGCTTGTATAAATTAACAATTCCTAAACGAAAAGAAATTTATTCTAGAGACTTCGGCTTCTAACGGTCTGCAGTACCTGAAAGACGAGTTGGTGCTGTCAGACGAGAATAAGCTTAATGTCTGAGCGAATTCATTCGTTTATCAAGTGCTTTCTTGGCACTCATCGAAGCTTTGATTATTGTATACGTAAATGTTGAAGACAGCCCCACTTTTTGCATAGTACGTAGCGCAGCAGTTACGACTGTTCTACAATATACACTAGATAGACCTTGGTTCAAAGCCACACTCACCGCTAACCAAGCACACCGCCTCTCCGACGTCGGTAATTGGTATCAGACTTCTTAAAGAGAAGAAAACATTGAAACCGGTCAGAAATGAATTCGGTCATGTATGTAATATATGGTATAGTTGAATGTATGGCAAATTTCTCAGGAACTGATGAACGACCAATGCTTCATGCTTTACAACTGCGTAACTCAAGAACACCGTAGGAGTTAGGCCTTCGACAATCCCCCAGCTTCAAATTCTGGATGCTTATACAACAAATTAAGTTCTGGTTCGCACTGATTACCAGCACGACTAGAAGATTTCGCGTTTGACTAGAGTGTATTTCTAGAAACCACAGATCTGGTAATACATTGAACCAGTTTGTCACTAATGTCTAGCGCTGGTAGTAGCATCAAGTGGGTTCGTAGGAAACGTCACCATATTTTATTCACAGCTGCGATTAATAAAGCAATGATACAAATTCTTTCCAAGAGTTTTTAGTTACTGTCTACTATCTTCTCATGGCAAGGTATTACGTGAAATACAACCACAATGATTTGTTCAAATATATGAAAGTTATCTTTCAATTATGTATATAACACAAAAATTAGGTAGACTCTACAACACAGGATTCATAAAGAGGCCGAAAAAGACTAGGTCGTCAATTCTCTGAAAATTTATACGGCTACTAACCATGTGTGAACCCAGGCAGAAATTCCGTTAAGCTTCCTTTTACTAATATCCCAATATGTTCTCAAGTCTTTATCACTGGAATTAACTTTCCGTTAGAGATTGGAAATAGGTTTATCGCCGATTAGCTTGTTACAGGACAACGACGTTTATATGCACAGGATTCCTTCAAGAGGACTTCTTTATGGCGACGTCGATAGATTAGGTCATTAAAATAAACCCCACAATTAATACATGTTACTAACACATTGGGATATTTAGTTGCATAGATAATATCCTGGACGATAAACAAAGTATGAAACCTAAGAATCATAAACAACCACAAAAACCTGCACTTATATATACGAATAAGTTACGCAATTGAAAAATCCGAAGGAGCACAAAATCAGGAAATGACACATCCACTAAAATTACTTGGATCTCTTTCCGTTTGGTAGATCTTCTCCTCGTTCACTGGTTTCAGTTCCTTCTTCCCTTTCTTGATCTTAGAAAAATCTGGCATGGTGGCTTTCGAGATATCAAACGATTTGTAAACAGAAGGAGTCCAACACTGGAAACAAGCAAGTTATACTACCAAGATAAGGAGGGATCTCAATAAGGGTTCGATAAAAGTGAAACGATGAATGATCAGTAAATACAACTCAGTGATTTACCAATGGGAAAGGGTAGCACAGTGGTAGCCAACCCGTCCATTCCGTAGACTGCTCAAATACCCAGACCATACTCGTTCGACTTACCCCAAGCCCATCAAACCTCTTATTCCTCCATAGGGAAATAGATAGTAGTCTTAAACAAACTCACTTCCTCCAATCTATGTGAGAATGTCCCAGCACGACTGCCTCAGAATTCAAAGAAGGATGCACCCACATTCGTGACAAAGAGGAAAAAGTCTTGAAGCAACAACCGAATTTACACGTAAAACAGTTTGAAGGCCTTCTTAGATGGTGTATGCGAGGGAGTGAAACACAAGACGTGCTAGAACTTACATAGTGCGATAGGTCGAATGCCGCTTCATGTAATAGAAAAATGATTCTTTCAATTTTTTGAATTAAAAAAAATGAAGGACATAGTTGGACAAGGTTGTCCACAACTCGAAATCAGTTAATATGTCATCTCCAACATTTTTTCATGTCTACATCTCCTTCTCCTCCCAACGGTTTACCGCCTCATCGTGGCTGGGAGGTGTTCCTGGGTGCCAGACTGCGATGTACAGCGGTGGATTTGTCCCCTCGCAGGGTCTCCCAAGCAGAGGAGTCCAGCGTTTCCATCAGGAAGCTTAGCTAGGAGTAAACCAATGCCAAGGTCCACCATGGCCCTGGTATCAAAGCCGCTTGGTCTCCCTCTGATCTACAAGGGCTACGACTGTTTGTAGCGGTGACGACCTAGGACAGACTTTCGCCAGGCTGTTCTCGGGATTCCAGGAAACCATGATGGCTTAACCAGCAAATCTCCGAAAAATGGTGATTATGCTGGAGTCCGCACAACTAGTGATTACAGGCCGTTCAAGTATCAAGTATATCTCCTTTCAGTCGGAATTATCGCGATCGATTAGGAATAAAGTTGAACTTTTAGTTCTATATGAGATGCCAACTACAAGAATACATAAATAAAAAGCTACAAAATTGGTCACAAATTAATCCCTTCTCAGGCATAGAAATACAACGTAATAAATTTTTCTAAAAGCAATATATCCGATGGAACTTAGACATTGGTATCTCTTAGCTACGAAACATCAAAACAATAAGAGAAAAACATTAAACAAAAGCATACATTTACTTCCATAAAAACACAATACAATACAACGCCAGCTGACGTTTCGGCAGTATCGCCTTCTTCAGAGCCTGGAAGGGTATACTGATATACAATCTACTAGGCCAAACGCTTCAATAACACTTACAAGAAGACGAAAGACTTTTTGGTAACTACACGATCAACAACTTCTCGAAAAACCCACCGCTTTTTCGTGACTTCCAATGAGGAAGTTTAGAACAGCTGATTATAGTCGCATGTGGTTGACGACTGCACCATCCCACATCAAAAATCGATGCGAACGTACGGGATCAGGTCGCGTATGACCTCCGGGCATTCGTCCCTGCTATTCATTGTAGGGTTTTTGGCATCAATGCCATGCCGGAGATCATACGCGACCTGATCCCGTACGTTCGCATCGATTTTTGATGTGGGATGGTGCAGTCGTCAACCACATGCGACTATAATCAGCTGTTCTAAACTTCCTCATTGGAAGTCACGAAAAAGCGGTGGGTTTTTCGAGAAGTTGTTGATCGTGTAGTTACCAAAAAGTCTTTCGTCTTCTTGTAAGTGTTATTGAAGCGTTTGGCCTAGTAGATTGTATATCAGTATACCCTTCCAGGCTCTGAAGAAGGCGATACTGCCGAAACGTCAGCTGGCGTTGTATTGTATTGTGTTTTTATGGAAGTAAATGTATGCTGTTTAAAAACCTCGCGATTGCTGAACAAGAAAACGACACATTCATATTCCAATGCCGAGGTTAAGAGAAAGTCGATCTTGGGAACTATTAAACAAAAGAACATGGACCATCTTACTTCTGAAGGCGAAGGATATTGAAAAGGTTCAGGTTTCGCAACACCATAGTTTGGATCCACATCCAACTTTGGACATTCGTCAGGCACCTGAATCAAACAGAAATCTGAACCACTTCTTGCATGAAGCATTTGTAGTCCTACAATTACAGCATTAAATTTAGGACTTCCACGAAAATTTTAAGAACGAGCAAAAAAGGACGAAGCACCCTTATTAATTTGCTAGAATAATCTGCAATACACGTACTAGTTGGTGGTATATGAAGCCATTTTCTCGCTCCGCCTTCTCAAGGTGACGAATCAGAAGAGGTTTAATGTTCCGGAAAAACAAGTGGTCTTCAGGTTTTACTCGGGTGCCTGGAATTAGTGAATTACAAAAACTCTGTTCCAAAGAGTGCTAAAGGGAAAACATTGCCGTGACCGGAGACAGCAAAAAAGTGCATAGAGAATTACTGAACAAGCACACCTGGTCCGGGTGCTGTTCCATATTTGGATGCGAAACTAGATGCGATTTCGAACTCCGCAACACCTTCCTTACATGCTCTGAAAATAGAGAAGCAGGTATAGAAGAGAAAAGGCGTCTGGATGGATTTCACAACCGACTTAAGAGCAAGCAGAACACAGACATACCTTACAGCTTCTCCACATTTATCCTCCTTTAATAATGATTCACCAAGGAAAGCGTAAGCGTACGCGTAATAGAAATGCTCCTTTAGTTGAAGATAACGTCTCCACTTTCCAAAGGTCTCCTCCTTCAGTGGCGATATTTGTTCCCCTGAAGCTTCCAACTGAACGTGAGAACTTAAGGGCTCATACAACTTTCGCAAACGAAGCCTTGTGCAAGAAAATCATGGTAGTTTCAAAATATAATATAAGCTCGAAAACAATAGGAGTACACGAACCAGCTCTGGCAAAGAGACTAGCAGTGTGTGCAGCTAGAGATGAAATCAAAAGGGGATTGTGTTTCATCTCAATAGCCCTCGCAACAACCACTTCCTGCGACTCAGCTATCGCCTATAAGCATATTTGCGTAGAATATACTACACAGTAAAAAGGATAAAGCGTAAAGCTCTCAGCGTTGATCAAACTTTGAGAGAAGAGCCACGCATTTAACCTCATTAAGCGTCGTTAGAGGTTAGAATGTACATCTGGCCTATAGAGTGACTTGCGGCCTATTCATGTACCGAGTCCGTGTTGCTGTTATTCTCCCAGACTAGTGTGGTACCAATTTGCCGACCCTGAAGGGATAGAAGGCTTGGTGTCCCTTGGTGCATATATTGCATAGCATATATTTAGCAAAGAAAAAAACGGCACAAGGGTGGTCTGCAATGCTGGATTGTGCTTCACTCGTACTGTAGCTGACCAAGCTAATGTTGCTCGAAAAACTGCAGCGTTGAAGACTGAAGACCATACTTCCGCAATGAATCCTCGCAGTTTTTCGTAACTCTTTCCCCAATAAGTGATAAGGTCACAAGTGTTGTTCTAGTCTTTCCACCTCGTTATCCGTTTAATAACAATTTCCAAATATCATGGTTCTGCATATGCGGACGGGAGGAGAAAAACAGAAATTGGATAAAAATCCGGGTAAAAACAGATTTTATGAAGACAAATATAAATAGAGCAGAATAATATAAATAGGAACATTAAAGAGATAAGATCGGGCCATGACTTTAAACACCAGCACATGCGCGAATGTGCTGCTTTTTTTGAAAACTGTCTATAACTTTCCTTAACCGATCAGAGTTTACACTGTTGTCCTACGGGTATTTACGATGCTTTAAAACGCCACTTAAATTCTAAATTTGCCTAAAATTCGAATTTTAAAAAAGGAGAGCCAAAAGTGGGATATAAATTTCCGGTTCATATACTTTTAAGCTACAAACACTAAGGATGCACTTAGGCAGACCAAGCTTTAGTGGACAAAATTCTTATTCATCACTCGCCTCGTTGTTAGAAGACCGACAAAAACGAGAGGAATTCAAATGTGCTACAGAAAATCGGTGTCAAAGTGGCAAAATAACAGTGTTGGCGAGACTTATAGACTCTAGAAATTTTTTCGTTTAGTAAAATATGAGATCGAGGAGAAATGAAACTAATGCACATGGCAGTGAACGCGGTAATAATGTTCAACACACATACCTGTAACTCATAAGTTTTTGCTACATTGGGATCAAAATCTGATCCTTCGAAATCATTTGTACCCGATAGGCGACCTGAAGATGATTTGACATCACTCAACTACTTTGAAATAAATTCCACAAAAACAGAAATGGGTCAATAACACGGCCGAGGGAAAGGCGGAACGAAGGACTCGCATAGTGTAGCGGTGAACCCATCAACCCTCAGAAAGGGTACTAGCGTGTTCGGTCCTCACCACAGACACCAGCGGTCCAGCATCATTATGGTTATATTTCACATGATACTCTATCATTAAAAAAGAATAGACAGTAAATAAACACTGACAACGGTAATAAACTTTTGTACGATTACAACAAACACTTTAAAACAGGTACCACCCGGACAAAACAACGTACCATCTTGGACCGGGAAAAAATAAACTCACTTAAATTTTCTAAGATGAACGCAAACATTCCAGCAGAACGTCGCAAACACAACAGGCATTCCTTTGCTTCAAACTCCCTCACCTAAAAGATGAGTCTTATAAATCCCCACTTTTTTATAAACAACATAAAACAGTATGTCCTAAGTATTGTTAACAACAACGGAAAGAAAGGAAGTGGGTTCACAACCAGCAACTGCAAAAGAAAATGAAATAAATACCTCATCCTTTCCAGCAACCCACGCCGCATGTTTAGATAACCACATTGCCATGCACTCTATCAAGTTCAGTGCCTCAAACCATGAGTCCGACATTTCCCTAAACGATCGATAATCTTGAAAATGGAGGAAATAAATGATATGGCTTGTATCACCTTCTTATAAGTAGTAAAGCTCTGTAAGAACACCAAAAGGATTCTTAACTAATTTCTGCTCTTCAGTTCCTTTCGTCAAACTCTACTGGGATATGAGAAAGTTAGATGGTATAACCATGATAATGCTGAAATAATTGCAAAACTCCGGACCACCGGTGTCGGCGGTAAGGATTGAACAGGTTATTACCCTTTCCGAGGGCTGACGCATTAACCAGGACACCATGCGGGTCCTTCGTTTCGCCTTTCTAGATGATATAATTCAGCGAAGTCGCTAGCATTACTACTCACTACAAAAGCAAAGAATGAGCTATGATCGAGAACGATTTGGCAACGATGCTTTACTATTTAGAATAAATCCACCTGTACAAATCGCGTGTGCCGAGATTGTACGTAACTCCGTATTTCTAAAAAACCTATCTATGTGGTTTGCTTGGTTCAAAGAGAGAAATGTCACTCTCAACATCGATTGAGTTAGTCATCAATGAAATGAATAGTTCATGTCGATGGAAATACACACTATTCGAGATAATTCGCTTTAGAAAAAATAACAAATTTCAGAAGGTGTTATCTTACAATCCTCCCAACGGTTTACCGCCCCATGGTGGTCGGGAGGCACCTCCGGGTGTCGGGTTGCGATGAATAGCGGAGGGATTCGCTCCCCAGCATGGCCTCTTAGGAGTGAAAGTCAGGAGTTCCTATCAAGAAACCAAGCTAAGAGTAAACCAATATTAGGATCCATCACCATCCTGGTATCAAAACAGACGCATGATGGCAAGTCTCCATCTGATCCACAAGGGCAGCGACTGTCTGTGGAGCAAGTTTTGTTGGGCCCACACAACCAGTGAGGAAGGATCATGCAAGTGCCCAACTAAATTATCTTGTAACAGAGCTCTGCTTTCAATCTATGGATGGAGAACTCACTAAGCCAAGAAATGTCGACTTCGATAATATGACAAATCCGTTGAGTTGTCGAAAAGATGTCAGAAAGGGTAACAGCGTGTTAGGTTCCCACCGCAGGCGCTGGTGGTCCGAAGTTTTGCAAATATCTCAGCATCATTGTGATTATAGTATTTCACATAACACCCTATCGTTAAAAAGAATAGGCAGTAAATAAAAAGTGACCAGACTAATGCACTTTTATGGAACTCAGTTTCAACAGGAACAACCTACGTAGAAAAAGTACCAAGCATGGAGTGCCCCCACTGATACCGCTGCACTGGTGAAAGTTTACTCGTTGCCGTCAAGGATCCCATCTCTGGAAAACAACACTAGACGGAACGAAAAACTTCGATGGAAACGATGGTAATAAAGTGATTGAGGAATTTCACAAACGACAAAGTCAACCGACCAGCAGAAGGTGTGTTCAATTCGATAAGAAACCCAGCGAAAAGACGAAGATAACCATTGAATTCCCTGTCAACTTCTACGAGAGAGTTCGCAGCGTTTCTGAAGAGCTCCAAAAGTTTCTCCCGACGGAGCCGTAGCTCACTGAAATCACGCGAGTATGACTAACAGGAAAATAACTTCCTACCATAGGACACAATAGTACTGCTGCATCAGACACAATGGAAAAATTTTAACCGAAAATGTTTACCTGCAAATCTTCCCAGAAGCATCGGATGTGAGGATTCCTTTTAGGTCAAACTTCACAAAACTGGTCGGCTTCATAGGATTACGATGGAACCAGTGGGCCATCACAATGAACAGAAAGAAAGATTTAACGAGACGTTTCCTTAGAACCGAGGATTCTCCTACTCACAAGTGACAACAAGGCAGAGTTAAACACGTGATACACAAAGAACCAAAGCAAGCATTAGTCACATCCCTTCACTGAGAAACCAACGATTACCATATCTTGTCGTAGAATCAAATGTTTCATGGTCAACACACCATTCACAATTGATCATACGTCGAACAGTTCGAGAGGACACGGCTTTTCAAAAACGTGGCCAGAATTGTTCATAGTGGAGCCTTGATCTTGAGGAGATGAAGAGGTTTTCTTGCCTCCATTTATATACAGTACTTTGTTTTTGTTCTGCAACCCAATATGATCATTCATCAGGACATTTCCATTAGGATGCTCAGTTAAAAGTAAACCAATACCGGGATCTACCACAGTCCTGGCATCAAACTAGTCGCATGGTGGCAAATCTCCCTCTGATCCACAAGAGCTGCGACTGCCTGTGGTGGTGACGACCTGGGGCAGACTTTGACTGGGTTGACCTCGGGATTCCAGGGAACCGCAATGGATTAACCAGCAAATCTCCGAAAAATGGTGATTATGCTGGGGGCCGCACAACCAGTGAGGACGGGCGATCTAAGTATCGAAGTAAGTCTAAGATAGTTGTTGCTTGGTTTTGCAGTTGTGCGAATGGCTTAGTTTCTTCAAAACAGTCGACTTAAGGAAGGAACTAAATTGCTGGTTATTTCAAAATAGGTCCTGCTTAACGTAAATCTGCAGCTATAATTGCCAATTCTATCGCAGACACACCTCATTCGATTTATAGTTGTTATGGTCGTAAAGCGGCGTGGTGTAGCGTAGTGGTCGCAGGCGTTCGGCATACACATGGGATCAATCTCGTGTCCCCGGCTCATAAAGCCTTCCATCCCTACGCGGTCAGCAGATTGTTACCAAATTTGTCTGTCTGGAAGGATAGCAGCACTGCGTCGATACATCGGTAGGCCACCGCGAGTCATTGTAGAGGCCAGGTATGCATTCAGTTACCTCCAACGGTGCTTAAAAAAGTCGAATTCATGGCGTATCCCATAGGGATTGATCAGTGCCGAAACCTTTATCCTTCATTTATAATCGTATAATACTAACTCAGAATTGTACTAGGTACGAGGTCTTCAGCACTCAGAGTCCGATGTATGCGCATTCGGACGAGTTGTCGCTATGGATTGAATCAATAGCAATGTGGAGCATGTTCTGGATGTCGGCCAACCGAAGCTGTTCTGCACACCTAATTGTTTATTTATCTATTTATTGCATGACTCGGCGTCACGTGTTTGACACTGTACTGATCCCATCACTTCTTGCATTGGGTTCGTTTTCTCCCACTCACCCGTCCACAAAGCTCATTGCACTTTTTTTTGCTCATGGCTTGTGCTACCGCTTGAGAATTTTCGTCTTCGTCACAAATGTGTTGAATGGAAGTCGAGTCTATTCACCCTGGAATCCTGCGACAGCCGTTGTAGAGGGTGGTCACGATGATTAGGGTTCGTCAGCTTGTCCCAGATAAGTCTGGTGCCAATTCTGGGGCTCAAGAGGGATGAGAGTGGGGTCGGCCCCGGACGGGGTCGAAACTGCGCCTGGGTAGGTCGGGCAGTCCGCACAATGGAAGGGATCACCACTGCGCTTCCTGCTTCCTTATACGTTCCATAATCTGCAAACAAACTGTTTTTCCGACGTATTTCTTCTGCGACGCTAGACTGTTCGCGTTAACGGAGGAGCATAGATGTCTGCGTTGTATTTGAGTACTGAAGTTCGACGTTTAGGAACATCTTTTCTCTACGGTAAGGTGGAAAAACACTAAGGCGCCTAGTCTAGGTTTAATACTCAGTGCCGATTTGTGCTCCCCGGATCATTTCCGTGGACGAATGATTGCTGGTAGCATCGGTAAATCAAAAGACTGGTTGAAAGAAAGTTAAAGTGTGGGCCTCGGTTGCTGTGGTGGCACAGTAGCAATAGCACATGAGGCGCCTGTGAAGGTAATCACGGGTTCGACACCCAGCTGGGAGTCTGAATTTTGCCCACATCTTAGCATTCTTGTAGTATTTCACATGGTACTCTGCCATTAAAGAAGGTTAGGCATTAAGTAAAAGCGAAAACATTATTCCTGTTATATCTGTGGGCTCGGCATCACCAAAGATATCTATTTTCGAAGTGTTGGGCATTCATCAGTGTGTATGTTTATCATAAAAGGATAAAAGAACGTCGGAATTGACCTATCACTGAGGGGTGCGTCATGCGTTCGACTTCAGTAAGCATCGTTAGTGAATGCATATATGACCTTTACAATGAATCGCGGTGGGCAACCGATGTATCGAACCAGTGCTTCTATCCTCCCAGCCAACCCAGACAACTCTGGTGCCAACTTGCCGACCCAGGAGGGATGGAGTGCCTGGTGAGCCGCAGGCGTAGAGATCGATCCCATGTATTTGTCGCAAGGCGGCGCCTCCGACCACTGCGCTGCACGCGCCGAGTATATGTTTCCAACTGTTTTTCTTATAGGACCCCACTGATTCTATGAAAGTCGTGTTCAAATATATTTGTTGTGCAACTTGTATTTTTTACAGCTTACACTTTTTGAATACTGCTTAGGGGTTTTGCAATCCCTGTCTGCGATTACTACTTTTATATAGATTGTGCATTTAACAGTATTCATAATCGGCAACATCTACGGTTCCCGTGGTTATTAATGGAGTAGTTCAAATAGAAATACTTGTATTGGCTGCATCCGACGTTAACCAGCTCGGAACGTGTATGAGCAGGTCGTAAATCTTAGAACATTTCCAATGCTTGGTAACGCTCAATACGACTTATTCCTTTTTTTCGGAGTTTCTTCGGAATTATGGCTGACCGGTGCAGATGTGAATACTTGATCATCACGAACACGGTACTGGTTCGATCCTGCTCCAGCCTCACCAAGCCCCTCATCCCACTGGTTTCGGGAGATTGGTACCGGACGCATCTGGGAAAAGTTCACTCTCTGTAATCCAAGTGGTACTATCTATCCTGGTTTTCTCTGGAATTCAATGAGAATCGACTTGACTAGCATTCAAAGGCATTCATGATGAAAGGAAAATCGTCAACCAGGAACCCAAGCCACACGTAAAAAGTTGGAAGACCTTCGTGGGTGATGGGTGTAAGGGAACAATTCGAATGCAAGAATTGCTATGATCCGTGTAGTAGATTTGAAATAAGGGCCTTGTAAAAAAAAGAATATACTGATCTTTGCAAGCAAGATAAAAGTATTTCAAGACTCCACAAACCAGTCTTGATGCCACATCAAGAAGGCGAACAACTGTGGACCATCGACTTGGATCATCGGCTTTGATCAAGATAAAAGTTTTTGCAAAACGTTTTTTGACACATTCTTATTTCATACACTGAAACGATTAAACGGATGGTATTTGGTCCAGTAGAACAAGAAGTTAGTGCCTTCTACGTCAATGAGTCATCGGTAATGACCAACGCTACCGTTCCTAGCTAGAATTTTTGAATTCCTTCTTCAGTTTTTGAATTTTCCTTTTCCAACGAAAACTCAAAATGAGGTAACATTTCGGGAAAGTCCTACCTTTTCCTAAAGTTTTCCCTTACCTTTAGAGCGACGAAGCAGCGTTTCTTCTGCTAGTATGTCTACCTCTTTGTCACTTCAACGCTTTAAAGGATTATGGAAAAAGTGTTCGGAGTTCCTGGTCCATGCATTCAGTTTCATAAACTAGCCATTGTAGATATGATTGAATGCATATCTGGTCTATACCATAACTCATGGTGGCTCACCGTGAATAAAGTTCATGTTCTTATCCTTCTAGAGCAGTCCGATATGAGTTTGCCGACTGTACTAGTTCGGCAGTGGAATATAGAATAGTAGTTGGTCGGGTTTATCCTCTGTCCGCCAACTGTACATGGAACGCTCGACTTTGTACTAGTTTACCATGCTAAATTTCTTTCGTAGCTACGGAGAACCTCGAGATTGGATTATAACGGTTTATGTCGATAATAACGACACAATATTAACAATCTGACGATGTCTAGTTGGACGAACGGGCACGAGCGAAGCACTTGAATGAAGCCGGGTGAAACACGGGGCACTGGAACACTAAGGCACTTTAAACACAGGTACTGGGACACTGACTGGATAACTAATAGTGCTTCTTATATTCCCTCTGCAGTGGGCGGAGTTTTGATGGAAGGAAATAGAGAGAATGCTTAAAGGAAGACTGTAGACAGTTTCTGTAAGCTAGACAAAGCTTTTGTGGTTGACCACATGCGACTATAATCAACTGTTCTAAACTTCCTCATTGGAAGTCACGAAAGGCGGCTCTGAAGAAGGCGATACTGCCGAAACGTCGGCTAGCGTTGTATTGTATTGTGTTTTTTTTATGGAGGTAAATGTATGCTGTTTAAAAACCTCGCGATTGCTGAACAAGAAAACGACACATTCATATTAACAGCTTTATTCTACTGCATAGAATAAGGAGTAAAATGAGAGGTGTACATGAGAAATCGTAAGAGTTTCGTGAAAATTGCAAGAAAGAAAATAAGAAGTAGTTGTGTGATAGAAAGAAAAATGCTTACTGTGAAATGAAAAATATGCGTGACGCTGGGAGAGAAGTGGGAACGAATGTTACCATCATGTGTTTTTACTCCTGTTGTTGCCTTGAAGCCACCTGGGTCCCGGTTCTTGTCTCAGTGGAGTTGTTATCGTGTGGCATCGTAGAAGATGTCACGCGGTTTCCAAGTGACGTGCGCTTTGCTCCAACTGGCGTATTTGTTCTTCTGCTTTTAGGAGTGCTTTGAGGGGTACCTGGAGTACAGGCACTGAGACTACGAAGGCAATGAGGATGACTAATGGTGCTTCTCATATTCCTTCTGTAATGGGCGGTGTTTTGATGGAAGGAACTAGAGATAATGCTTAAAGGGAGATTGCAGGTTTCTGGAGACTATACAAAGCTTTTACAGAAAATAA